GTATAAACAGATGAGAATACGATACTTACGTAGGGTATAAATAACCATCAACATGTCGACATTTTTCTTTAATTTAAATATTTTTTTTTGACTTTTTATTTATATAACATTTCTAAAAATATTTGTCGATATTTAATCCGTATTTAGTTCCATAGAGAATTTCATAGAATTGAGACCACATTTAAAACACTGTAGGGGAGAAATAGAATTGCGGAAAAGTGGACTCACACCGGAGACCAATATTTGATCAATATTTTAAACGTTAAATCTTTTTTTATTTCCTTTCTTCTTTATTTTCTTATTATTTTTCTAATTAGTTCAACGTTAGAAAAAAAGTACTAAATTGCGAAACTCTTTTTTTTTTTCATTTCAAACTTTCAGCTCCGTTATTTTGAACACTCAATCGCAGCAAACTATCTTTGACCATAGTCACCACTTACGTGTTACCCACGACCTTTTTTTCTTCCAAAAAATAAATAAACATATAGCTTTAAAAATTGAGTCATTCTGCTATTTTTTTTAAGTTTTCTGTCACATCAAATGGGAGGCAAAATTTTCTCTCTTAAACCACTCAAATCAAAATTACCCCCGATTTTATAATTATTTTATTTTTTCCTTTTAATTTGGAAAACTGCTAAAATCTGATTTGATGATTATTTTTGGTTTTTATTTTTTATTTTTAAAAATTATATATATATATTTTTTGGTATATGTGAAGGTAGGAATTCGAACTCATGACCTTTTGATTAGAGTTAGATGTCTTAACTATTTGAGTTAGGCTGGATTGACTGTTTGTTTGCATATAATTCTCTTAGTATATTTTCACATTTCTAAAAATAATCACATTTTCATTTTTTACCAAATCCTGAAAACAAAAACAAGTTTTTTGAAAACTTTTTTTTTCTTGCCTTTGTCCCAAAAATTCCTAAAAGAAAATTTAAAATTAAAAACAAAATCTCTTAGAAAAGGCTATTTCTGATCTCTACCTTAACATCTGTTAAGGAACTCAAATAAAAATAATAAAAGCTCTACCACATGATCTTTATGCGTAAAAGTATCTCTGTTTCAACACTCATCTCTCTAATTAAAATATGTACTCCTTTTTTCGATACACTTCATTTTCTAAACCCTTTCAGAAATTGAAATGACAATCATTAGTATAAAAATTAATCGAAATGACATAAATCGAAATGGAAATGTTATTTCTTTAATGTTTTTATCAAAAATTTTCTAGAATTAGAATTTGAATTCATTGAATGTTATTTACTAAAACTGTATCATATTAGAATTGGAATCAGAAATATAACAATTACTAATATACTCATTTCTTCTTCCTAACTCATTACAAATACATCATTACAAATACATTACTGTGCCAATATATTTTTTAATTACAATAATAATAAAAATTATTTTATTTTATTACTATATTATTGGTAGTAAATATTTTTTATTATAATAATTTATTTAATATTAATAAATAATGAATTACTAAAATACTTTTTTTTATTAGAATACCATCATTTAATATAAAATTTTATTATTATAATATTTAATAATAATGAATTCTATTTTTAAAAATCTACTATGTTAATTAATATAACAAAAAAGTAAATAATTAAAAGTTAGATATAAATTTAAACTACTAAAAAGGGTATACATTTGTATTAGAAAAAAAATATTCGACGTATGAATAAAAAAAAAGAAATAATATAAAAGTGTAAAAAGATTAATTCAAAAAAGTTATGGATCTCATTGATAGATGAAAAAGGATAATTATAATAAAAATGTGGGACTAAAGAATAAAGAATGAGAATGGAATTGATGAGACAATAACGAGGTTACCCTTTTAAAAGAATAAGATTACCAAATTTGAGATGGGTCTTATCATTTGATTTTATTCTAACAAATTTGCTAAAACATGGAATGAAAAAGTTGATTCACACTCCTTGATTCCCGTCTCCTAAGTAAACATGACCTAAAAAAATTCTCTCTATCACAACTCTCTCTCAATTAAACTTTATATTAAAATTAATTTAAATGATAAAATTTATTATAATTAATTACATTTCGCACAAACATTTTAAAATTAGGTTATTTAAATTATGAAAACGTGTGCGATACAAGATTAAAAAAATCTTTAGAAAATAAAATTATATTCACAAATAAATAATCATGTTAAACTTTTTATTTGGTATTCAAGCTTTAATTAAAACAAATATTGCATACGTACACAAATATGTATTATTATTAAAATATTAATCTATTTTATGAAACTAATTAATAACTCATTTGAAAAGTAAAATGTACCATTAAGATATCAACTTCCTTTGTTTGAAAAAAAAACATCAACTTTATCGGGAGTTGATGTCTCAAATCTCACTCTTTTAATTATAATGCTATATTCCAAACAAATTTATGATTTGAAAACAACAATTAAAAAAAGATGTTAGGATTGAATGTAAAAATAAAAAAATATTAAAAAATCAAAAAAAAATCCATGAAAATTATAATAGGTAAAGTAAGATATGTGATTTGTTAACTGCTATGTCATGTAAATTTTTTATTAGCTAATTTTAACATTTACCAACACAATGACATCTTAGAGTGTTGACACCGTGGCAAGAGGTTTGAGAATCGTCGCCCAGGGGTTCCATGTTCAACCCTCCTATATCGAGTAAAAAAAAATCACCAAACACAAGGGTTAATATGTTGTATAAAAAAAAGGGTTAATAAAAGCTCTGACTTCTTAAAAAACCAAGCCAGGAGAAAATGAGGACTGATGTCAGGTCCAAAGAAAAGGGACCATCCTCCTCTAGTAGCAGAACAGAGTATCGTAGGACGGAGAGCGGCCCTACCCGGAGCCGACCTTATGAATGGTACACTCCAACCACCATCCCCATCTCCGAGATACTCACGAACATCGAGGAAAGCGGGATGGAAAAACTCCTCAAGCGACCTGAGAAGCTCTGAGGAGACCCAGAAAAGCGCAACAAAGATAAGTATTGTCGTTTTCATCGCGATCACGGCCACAATACGACAAGTTGCTGGGAGTTGAAGCGCCAGATTGAAGACCTCATTCAAGACGGCTACTTCAAAAATTTCGTGGGCAAACCGAGGTCTAACTCGGTCGAAAAGAAGGAGGAAAGGAAGCGTTCAAGAACATCGCCTCGACGAGAGGACCGACCTGCGGTCATCAATACTATCTTCGG